TCGCTTCTAGGAGCAAGGACGCTACTAGGGGCTCCTGGCATCGCTACGAACGGAGCACAGCGTTCTTTTCGGAACAATGAAGGCTGATCCGGCGTACGCCTCGTTTCAGGCCCAATGCGCACGCATATCTAGTGGGTATAGAGAGTCCCAACATGTCCCAACCATGGTACAAGAGATTACAGGAGGGGTCATAGCGGACTACAGTACCCTGAGTGGACCTGCCTTCAGTTGCCCACAAGTTTCTGTTTATATGCTACCAACAGCATCAGCTGCAATCCACCAAAGAATCTTCGCTTCTATCTTCGCTTCCACCAAGACAGCAGTTTTTCGACGTCGCTCCTCAGGGCCAGTGATGCGCCCCGTCCCAAACTCGATCTGCAGAAGTCCACCTCAGCGCCGCTGTCGTTCGAGCGACTCGAACGGACGGACGAACGGGTCGGTGGCGGAGGTGCATTCTCTCTGCCTATGCCAAATGATATATCGTCTTTTGTACAACTTTATACAACCAATATATAACCATAATTCGTGCATAATCCCGGATCGAACATCTTGCTGGCAAAGCTGATCCCACCTACACTCCCATGCAGTTACTAGTCCCAACAGTGGAACATGAGCGGACGCCACCAAGGGAAGTCCAAGAGCAACTTCCACTAGGCATCCCCGGCTTTTGGCGGCCGGCGAATATGTCCGCGAGTTCCTGCCGGGCAGGGCGTCGGACACAGAAATGCGAGAAGAAGCCATGGTTTGGTTGCTGTTGTTTGAATATGGTTGTCCTCATACTATTATAAGATATTGCTGTATTATGCTGTATTATGATGTTATATGGTACAATATGCTGCATGTCTATAGATGTTCAATAAGGGGAAGGGACTTGTCTGGATGAGATGTCTTGCCAGGAGTCCATCGGTGACCTCCCGGGCATCACATCACAAATCATCGACCGCTGTGAAGTGTGGTTGAGACACACTTTTAGAACAGGCATTATCTCTTAATAATGCATGCAACCAGGTGAGCGGCCTCCTCTTTTGAGAAGTGTCTGCGCACGGAAACATGTTTGAGGCAAACATGGACCTATTCTGGACTGACTTGAGGATCTTTAGTGGAATCCGCCGTTTTCAGTAAATACATTATTAACATATATTAGAACATCATCGCTCAAAATCGGACATCAACTACCCCGACCCCCACTGGCAAAAGCCGGCATCCGCAGGCATCCAAGGGGCGCCAAGCACACGCGGCTGTTACGACCCCGAGACCCTCCCGGGAGGCCGGACGAGCGGTTGTAACGGTTGCGGCTGGAGGAAGCACAGGGGCCCTCTTGACCTCAGCACCGGCACCGTACGCAGGTAGCACAGTACGCAGGGAAATGTAGTAGACAAACGGGACGTGTGGATCTGGAGACGGGATGGAGCAGTAATCTGACAGGTAATGAAGATCGAGAGGTTTAATTATGTATTAATTGACATGATTGATCCCTGACTGAAGTTGAAGACATACCCTTGCTGAGCCTGATTTGCTTCCAAAAGTCGGAATCAAATGTGATGCCTTTGGGCCTTGAAAGAGGAATTGGTTAGACCTAAACCTAAATAAGTGTAAGATCGTAAGACCCAAAAAACCAGCTTTGGAGGGGTGTCTTCGTCTTCTGTCCAAACACCTCACCCACTCTTCCCCATGCCCGACACGAGTGACTGGCCACTTGAGCCCGCCACAAAGAACGGAGGAGACCCAAATGTTGGTACTGCCTACATGCGCGGGCCGTCAGCCGAGGCAGGTGTTTGACGATCAAAGAGCGCCATGTCAGCACTTAGCGCCCTTCAAGTTCAGGTGGGAACAACCAGGATGTTCTAGAAGTCCAGCAACTCCTATAGGATATGGGGCAAAACAATAGTAATCAGTCATTCTGATGAATCCAACGGGGTGGATGCACGCCCGCGCCGAAGCATCAGCCCCCTTTTGATTGACTGGTGAGGATCATCCAAGCAGAAGCATCCGAACCCAAATCTTTTCTTTGGAAAACACATCACACACACAATGATGAATCATAAGCGCTTCTAAAACCCCACTGGCTTAAACTTGTGGAAGATCCTCAAAGCCCGCCCCCCCGTCAGCTCACGGTCCTTCAACAAGACCCGACTTTCATGTGTCTAAGTCGGTCACCTCAACAAGGCGCGTGTGCCGCGCGCGCGCGCACGCGCCGACGCGTGCGCGCGTGGTCGGTGCCTGTGTCGAAAACCACCCACACCAAGGACTCATCTTTGACCTTGGTGATCACAAAGGGCCACAAGGACTCATCCCTAATCGATGAGTCCATCGGAGTCCATTAAAAGATCCAGGCGATGTGACCCCAATGTCTCTGAAGCATTGCTGAAGATTTGAGGCGAATCTGGAGGAGCATCTTGCTGGAATAAACGCCCCCCTTTGCTGTAGATGTTTGCAAGGTCTTTTGATCCAGCTCCCCTTCACCATCACTGCTCACTTTCCGATATTCAACCGGACCCAGGTGTTTGGCTGACTACAACTTCAAGCGGCTTGGAACCGACTCTAGCTCCGAGCAATCACCACACCACCAACTTTTGAAGCAAGCTGAAGCAGCCCATATCTAATAAACTGATTGGCCTTAGTATCAGCAATGACCCCACAGCTGCAATTCCATAGGTCAGACTCTGAACACTGCATAGGTGGTTTGTCTGAGAAAGGGGCATGGCAGGCCTTCTTCTGCTCCTGTCTTGGCAGTTCTCCGCGAGCTTTCCAAGTCTGCTGGAGATTTGGGAGAAACAAATAACTGATCAAATCTGTCCAAGCAAGATGTCCGGAGACATTCTGAGGCATGGGGTTCACCTCTTGCCGTGGAGACGACGGACCCCAGCAAAAGTTCAAGACTTGTGGGCTACTTGGTTCGTCTCAAGTACTTGTGGCCGCAAAAGGGAACGAAGCTCAACAGCACTGGGCTTCCTCGAAGACATGCCTCGGTCGACTTAAAAGGACCAACTCGGGAGCTGCAGAGGTGGACTCGTTCAGCGCCACGAGGAGAGCGGTAAATAGACAAAGCAATCAAGGAAGAACAACGGGACACACGGTTCATGTGGAACATGAACGATTGGGTCAAAGCATCTCCAAAGCATATGCGGAAAAACACATCCGATGGAAACAAACCATGGTGGTCTCCAATTGATCCATGTGAAGTCATGAAAAAAACGCGCCAGACTGCTGTCAGGGCAAACACGCCGGTAGTCACTGTCAAGTCACGTCTTGCGGTCCTCGCTGGCAGCCTGATAGTCCGCTGGCCCCAAGTAGATTAAAGACCTCAAGTCCGAGGGACCCGATAGACCGCTTGGGCAGCTGTGATTGACCATGTATTTTCTTGTGTTGTGTTTTTGTTAAATCTGCCTCCAACAAGCCTGGCCAATACTCTCTAATTCCCGGAAGATAGTCAAAGCCGTCAAAATCCAAATACATACCCCAAACCGCAGCATGGAATTCACAAAACTCAACAATGTCCACATGCAAAGGTCGCCTAAAGATTGTTCCTAAGATATTGTCTTGGACTCCCAAGGTATGCGTCACTGTCGTTGCCTGCACGGTGGACAATTGTTTCGCACGTGCAGGTCCCGTACTCGCTGGGCTGGCAGCCGCGAGGTGAGAGGACCGAACCTCGCGACATGGGATAATTGCAAACCACAGCAGTTGATATACGAGAGAATGTTGCAAGCATTCAAAATAAACACAAATGGATAATGATGAAGAATGATCTTGCACCAAAAAGTTTGTGCTCATGTTTCTCGAGGAAGGGGAGGTACCATTGTCAAACTAGCAGATCAACTAGGACCAGGATCCTAGTTGGGACATGTGATCTGGGGGCCCCCCGTCGAGCAATGAAATCGCGTGACCACTCACCAGGCGGTGACTGTGATGGTCCAATGTTGGGAGAACAACAAAGCACTCTCTAGAAGTACATGCACCAATGTAAACAAGAAACTAATGTACAGTAAATCACTTGGAGATCACATAAACTAACATTCCTCCACCAACCCGTTCTCGCTGTTGATCATTCTCGTTCATGCAGCAAACTCTGTGCATGGATGAAGGGTATTGAGATAGAAGGAGGGGACATCGTTTTTTAGGTCCTGGACGCAATGAACGTCTTCCCTTTGTGTTGTCCATCGAACTCAAGGTCCACTGAACCCAGTGCGGCTGGGAAAACCCACTCCCAGCAGTCTTGCCCACGTGGCCCAACACACTCTGTGGCCACGGGCCAACTCCAATTTGACCAATGTACCTGGAGTTTCGCCCAAATTCAGTCAAGAGATTCACAGAACAACATGTTTTCGTTTGGTTTGTGGTTAGATGTAAAACAATGAATTTCTTCGATGCGTTGGCTGAAACATGCTGAAACCAAAAACCATGGACAGTCGGCGGCGGGTGAGTGCTCTGGAAGTCCCAGAGTCTTGGTTTGGGGAGGTCGGCGTATAGACAGAGCAGCTTCAATTGCCTCTGCGGTTCATTCCTATCTGCGTTTCACTTGCGACTGGATTGTTGCGACTCTTTCAGCCTGTTGTGACTCTGTCAGCCTTCCAAATGGAGGCAGTGCGACATTATTATACATTACTCATTACATAGGCCTGCACTCGTTGAATACCTTGGCACTTCTTTGAATTGTGAACGGCCATGGCGGAGAAAGAACACCGAACTGTGGGGCCTTGGTTGAACGGTGGAACTGGGCGTGCTTACTCGACAACGCAAGGCCAAAGCATACAATCAAAGACCCCCTGAGAAAACATGAATCTGGACGTTGAACTTGCAAGCGCATGACATTGGCACTGTCAATCTCCTGCTTGATTGGTTCATGGGTTATAAATGTCACTAATTTTGCGGGTTGGTCGGCCGGACACTCAATCAATTATGATTCAACTATGTGCCTGAGCGTAGAGCAAATTAAATGCTGGTGTCAGTGGAAGCAAATCGGCGTGGTCGCACTCGACCTATTTGCTTGGTGTCAAAAAATGTTGTCGTATGGTATGCAAAACACATGCAACAATGATTAACATGCACTATTGTTGTTTATTGGGTATGATGGTGTTGTTGTCCTGTGAACGGAATAAACATGTTGAAATGAAAACCTGTACCTCACGAGGCTAAAACATATCGGCAAGCCCTTAGCATTTATGCTGCTTAGTTAACATATGTTAACATAATGTCTGGCTGGCTGTTCAAGAGCGCACAAAATTGATCAACATGTGTTAAACTTATGTGTATTCTGGTCTTCTTGTCCGCTTTGAGAACACAAAATGGTTGTTAGGTCAAAACCTGCTGGCTAGTCCATGAAATTGGCACTGCTTGTTCATACTCTGCTTTGCTTGGTTTAATGGCTGCATGACTGCAGCATACAATAAATGAATGTTTGTGTCATGTGAAACAAAATTGTGCAGTCGCACTAGGCCATGCTAAGTGGGCTGCCAGCATAAAAAGACATGTCTTCTGTTTCAGCTTCCTTAGTGTGGAAACTGTCGGCGTATGTCCTGATCAGAAAATATCAGAAACACACTGCCCCTCCAGCGTAGACCCAAAGCAGGAACAAGAAGCCGCAGAAGAACATCGGCAATTCAACCAGCGCCCAACGCCGAGTCAATCAACCCCGAAGGCCCTGAGCCTAAGCCCAACCTGTTCACCTCACCCAAAGCTTGGTTAATTAAGCCATTGACTCAAAAACAGCAGTGCATCCATGTTCGGCACTGAAAAGCCTCTGACCTCTAAGCCTTGGAGTGCTTCTCAAAACTTCACACCTCAGAAACGCCCGCGATGTGCCCCACGCACCCCAGGTCACTGGCTTTCCAAGCTCGTGAGCCGGGTTTCTGCCGGGTGCGTCTCATCGGGCACCGTGAGTGAGTGATACCTCGGACTCGCAGGACGCAATGCTACTCGCTTGGAGGTACCCTATCAACCCAAAGGAGGAACATAAGGAACTAAAGAGAAACCAAACACGACTTCCACACTTCCAATCATTGAAGAATCGTATCTTCCACGTCATCCAAGCATCTGGGAGAAGCATTTGGGTCAAATCCATTCAAACATCTTCAAATTGAAGATTAACACATTCCTCGCTGCATCGCCCGTCACGTCACCGTCACGTTCGTCACCGTCCGCCTGAGCAAAGCATCACTGCTCCTTGTGCCGCGACAGTCGTCGGATGCTGCGCAAACTACATGTGGAGGCCTACTAGAGGGATGTGCTGAAAACAACAACAACTGCATGTCGTTTGCCAGATCAAAGGCCTGTGAGGGATATGCAACTGGAGACATCGGAGGAAACATCGAGTTTACTACACCCAAACGATGGGTCCGTGTGAGATGTTCAGCAAGTGACATTTTCCTTTTGAACATGAAGTCAACAATTGAGGAGGCAGGAGGAATCCTCAGGAGGAATCAATATATAGTTCTAGTTCTAGTGGTTGCAACTGTGTAATTACTACTGAGCCATTTGTTCTAAAGTAGCACATTTGTGGAGATTATTCATGAGATATCCAGAGCACAGTACCTATGAAATATGATTTGCAGTAAATACATGACCACGTTTCTCTTGATTAAAGTCCCTCTTCGATCTACATATGCCTAAAAAACATTCAAAAACTCGACCTTTTCTTCGTCGCTTTAAACCAACAAAAACCGCTCCTGAACCTGCCAGCAGTGGCAGACACGGAGCTGTTGAACGTCACCTGGGCTCCGAGCAGAGCGCAGCAGCGAAAGGGCAGGGCTGCGCTGCGACGTCTCATGCACGGCACCCGACTCAACCAGTTTGACGCGTCGTTGAATGCATCGTTTTTCATGGGCTTGATGGCGTGCTTCCTGGTGCCAAACGCACCAAAACCGGTGCTATTTTTCAGTTCTCATTGAGCTTCCTTGACCAGTGGGAAAAACGAGAATGAACAGAGTCAACACAGGACAACCCCCAAGCCACTCGCAGGGCAAAGGAAGCCCTCCAAATCCATGAAAAATGACCGTGACACGGTGAAGGCCCAGGCAATCCGTGATCTTCGACAAGCGCACAAACCAACACAAACCCAAACAATCAAAAAAACCGATCAAGTGCAGCATCCCAGCTGAAACTCAGGGTTGCAAACCAGATGCCGTTGAAAGAATGCAAGTGAAGCAAAACTAGCACAAATTTGCATGCAGCACTAGCACGTGATGACCCATTCATGTACTGAACTTGGACCACCATTAAGCGCTGAAGGGAAGCCTATTGTCAGGGTCGTGAACACTCTTGAAACTAGTTAATGAAGCCCTCTTGATTTCCCCAGGACACAAAAAGAACACTCTGAGCACGGTTGCCACGTTCTCAGTACAGCGAACTCAACGACCAGAATCAGGGATGAGCAGCCTTTGTAAAAAATACATGAAAACAATTTTCACCCATGATGTTGAAATGTTGAGCGTGTAGACCTTGGACACCTTCCACCGAGATCAAGACCTCCAAGAAGGCCGCCTGATGAGCTTTCAGCGCTGCCTCCTGGTGAAAAAGACCCAGAACTGCCAAAGCTGTGAGGAGCGGAGCCACTGAGATCAAGTTTTCCCCAAAGAGATCTGAAGATTCCTTGAGAGATAGAAGATCCAACCCATGAGTGCACAAGGCAGATTTGTTCTCTCCATCTACATGACATCATGTGTCATATATAGTGTATATATATATATATACATACATATTATATGTCAATATGTCTTTCTTCAGGCTGTGGGGATTGAATTCGATGTCCATTAAACACTTTTAGGAGCTCTGTTTCGTTGGATTTCGTTGGAGCCTAAACATCCACAAAGGGCTCATTGGCAACAAACACACCACGTGAAGTTTGATGACAATCCATTCTAAATCCCCTGAAACCAAACCACACCCTTGTCGACTGTGACTCATGGGTCGCATGGACAAAAATAGACTCCAAATGAAGACTCCAAATGTACGTCACTTTGTCCACTTTGTGTCTCTGATGGTGCGTCACTTTGACTCTAGCTGAAACCTTGCCTTCATTCCAAAAAGAAGAAAGGAGCGTCATGAAGGCCGCGTCACAAACGCTGGACTTCTCCTTCTGGCCTTCATACAGGCAAAAAACTATGTCATCACTTTGTTTGAGGTGTTGTTACCCTGCCTTGGGGGGAAGGCTCTGCAGAAAGCAATCCCTTTTTTCCTCAACAGCGTTGAAACAGCATTGCCATGGCCCATGGCGATTTTGGCATTGAAATAATTAGCTGTACTAGGAGCTGACTATAGGGAGATGACTTTGTCAGGTTGCATCGTCCAACGTTCTCCGTTCTTCTCCGGTCCATCCTCTCCGGTCGTCCGTCCGTCCCAACCCTCCTGAAGCTTCGAGACTCGCACGAAGCCCTCCGGTGGGACCGACCGGTGTCCCGAACGGAATGACTGTTGCGTTGAGTCACTTGAGGAATGACTCATGACATGAAGTGCTAAAGTGGGATTTAAAAAAAACATCTGTAATTCATGTACAGGCTTTGGACCGATCGGCAGGTTTGAACTTTGGATGAAACGACGATTGGCCTGGGTAGACTCCTGTTTTTGGTGTTTGAAAACAAAAGGAATTAGTGCCAGTCAAAAACCACCAAACTCGTATCTGGGGACCGATTAGACATGTTATTTGAGAGTGCCCGTGTCTTCTCCCTTTTTGGAAGCAACTCTCTTTTGCTGATCCCTGCCTGCGGGCGTCTCTCGAGTTTCTGCCTTGGTCTTGCCCTCGACAAGAGGGTAGAGCCGATCTGGCGACGACATCGGGACACGGCGCTGGGCGGCCAACCTTCTAACAAATAACTGATATGCCGAGATAGTCAAAATCAAACATGGAAGTAGAGCCATTGCATATTATTGCATAATTAATTGATAGTAAGTGATAGATTTTGATACTACGGATATATCTGGATAATCCCTTCCCACTTCCACCTATTAAAAAAACACGCCCCCCCCCCTGAAATCGGGTTTGTCCAAAATAGGATAACTTGGGAAGAACTTCAAAACATACTCAAAGAGCGGCTTCGGGTGTTTTGAGTGGAACAGATATTGATAAAACATCCCCCTTGGAATTACCGGTAGGTCTGGGGAGCGCGATTTTATAGCCATAAATCGCCTGCCCCAACATCCAGCAAGCAATCTCTCCACTATAAAATGAAGACTCGACATGACTCAGTAAATCTCTATAAAATCAAGTCTCAACATCTAAGGCGCCCGAAAGCAGAAGGAAGACGTAAAATATGATCTAGGTTTGAGGTAGTTTTAACTTTATTTTGCCCAGGTCGGAATTGATTTTATAGTGGGTTGTTTGGGTTCAACTGGGCTGAGACGTGAATTTATAGGGATTTGGTTTGCAAAATCTGACAGCATCAGCGATGAGCAGGTCTTTTCCCCTGTGCGTTCTTCTGATTGCTCTGATGTCCAAAGCAATCCGCTTGATTGTCGTCAAAAAAACCAACATATTCTGCACGCAACTGACTTCCAACATCTGCCACAATAAAATGAAGTCTCAGCTTTCTTGTCCACAACTCTCTTCATATAAGATCAAGAACCAACTTCTAATCATTGTAAGGCTTGGTCTGCTATACAATCGGGGCTCATACCACCTCACTCCTATAAAATCTAATGTCAAAACATCCAGACCTCTATCTATGTGCGGCCCACATGATTCTGGCCACAAGCTACCAGGTCGACACATCATTTTATAGCAAACCCTCCCTATAAAATGACATGGGGTTTTGGTACTCGAGCACGTCCACTTTATAGGTTTTATTCCATCGGGGATGATAAAACCATAAATCAATGTCTTGGTAGGTGTCAAACTGCAAATCATTTTAGTACCTTTACGATCCTTTAAGCAGCCGCCTGGAATTTCCAAGGAATAGTCCCGAGTACCTGATTAAAACCTACACAAGTTTAAAGAGAGTAATGTCGGAACCCCTCAATACGTGTTTTTCAACATTACTGCCCTTTAAAGCCGCTACTAAACTACCAACATGGCCGATTTTGGTTGATATTGTTTATTAGGTTCCAAAAGCAGCCGTAACTGCCCACCTCTGTCCACCCTGTCTATTCTATCCACCATGACACGCTGCGTTTACACCAGCTAGCTTTCCTTCCCCCAATGGCACGGACTCACAAAAACGCACTTGCCACCGAGGTCACGCAAAACCGCATGGCACAGCGACATCACCTTTCGAAAGCTTTTTTTTAGTCTAATGAAGAATCATTATTCTAATGGGTTTTTGTAGGGGAAAAGGAAGGCCCTTCGATCTGGAGATTGTATTGAATTTTTGATACGAGTTTAATATAGGATATATATTGATCCTATATTATTTAAAACTTTCCTGGATGACTTTTCGGTTAAAGAATAGTCAACCCTGTTGCTAGTGTCTGGCCAGAAAACAACAACAGCAACAACAATACAAAAGCAACATTCCCTCAATACTTCAACCGTATCCCTGACCTTGTCCCCTTAAAGTTCCAGAGTTACAATTACAACATGTGACAATGTTGGGCGGCTGTTTTCGTTTCTACCAACAACAACAAGAACAAGAACAAGGTACAAGCAAAAACTGCAGCCCGTTACAACATATCTTCTTCCTTTGTCTCTACAAGGAGGTGGAAACAACAACTGCAGCCCCGTCGTCATTGTTTTTGGACCCCCCCCAAAAAACAACCAGCCAACAAGTACTTTCACCAGTGGTAGTACCACTAGTAGAAGTAGAAGTAGAAGTAGTAGTAACCGGTCAGCTAAACCTCTGTAAACCTTCTACTTAGAGCCTCTACCACATCCTAGAAAAAATGCGGCCCCGTTGTTGTTGTTTTTGATCCCCCCTCAAGAGGTGAAGGCTCTACTCCCTCCTAGAAACAAAGATTGCAGCCCCGTTGTTGTTTTTTGGACCCCCCTCCAGAACAACACCTCAAAACACTAAAAATGAACCAGCCCAAACTTCAGTGAAACAAGCCCAACAAGTCCACCTACTTACGAAACCAACATTCGCTCAAACCTTCAACCATATCCCTCCCTTGAAGTTCCAAAGTTACAACATGTGACAATTATATTGGGCGGCTGTGTTTTTCCACCACCACCACCGCCACCGCCACCGCCACCGCCACCCCCACCACCACCACCGCCACCACCACCACCACCATCACCATCACCATATGGGCTCCGGAATCTGGGAACTGAAAACACCCAACCCACCACACCACCCACCACCACCACCACCGCCGCCACCACCACCACCACCAACAACAACAACAACCACACTCCCGTACCTCCTCATGGGCGCTCCACCGAGCTTCAGCCTTCGGATTGTGGGGGGGAGTCTCGAGGCAGTCTCATGACCGATAGTGCAATGGACCTGAGGAAGATTGTTGTATTTCCTGGTGAAATGTGTAAGACTCATGATGCCTCTTTCACGGTCTAAGCATCTGATCCAACATCTGCAGGGATCAAATAGCCCTTAAAGGCCTTTAAAAACCTTACTATTGATTCATAAGCTTGGAAGTTGTGGGTTCTGGTGGTGTGTCGACGGATCCCTTCAACACATCGGGTGCAGCTTCGTCCATGATCATGGATGACTGCATGGATGTCTGACCATTCTGACCCGTGCTTTGACTTTACATCTTGGAGATTGAGACAGATTGAGTCTTGGGGAGTTCGGTCTTAAAATGATCTCCTCATTGAATCTCTAGTTCCATGTCATTCCAGGTCCCACTCACACAAAGCATTTTTCCGCTCACCGTTAGTGCCCTCTCAGCCCACGCCACCTCCAAAAAAAGAGGCCATGCCCTCGTGCTCGTATCTGTGCAGCCTGCCATGCTGTGGCTAACGTCCGACGGTTCGCTGGGACTGGGGGCCCAGGTGCCAGGAGGTCTGAGGTCCTGTCGGAGACCTGCGCGGATCGACTGGGACCTTCCAGACCAGCCCGGAAGCGATGCGAAAAGCATGTCTGTCCGAAGGAGAAATGCAGGTATCTATACATAGTGTAGCCATGGTGAGCCTGTTAGCTGTACCAACCATCCTCTTACTATATTAGATTATATTAGTACTTTTTCAAATGGTCTGAGTTTTGTAGGGCCTCAACGCCATCTGTGATGTTCTCCAACAATCATCCACGTCTGTGGTCTTCATGAGCAATCTGAACATCTTTCAACTCGTCATCTGTCGTCCTTAGATGATCTTCGAATTCAATGTCTGAATAAAAACCGAAAACCCCTTACAACCACGACCACCGGCACCCACGTCCACTGACCACGGCACGAGGACCGCTCCACCTAGTCACGTGGACCGCTTCATAACCCGAGTGGAAGAGCTCCTCCGCCTGGGCGATGTTCATTCCGCCCTCAAGAATCCGCATAATGATAGCGGAGGTGAAAGTGAATTTCATACGGTTCCTTTCTTTTGCTTTCTATTCAATGTGGTTCACCTTGGTTGGGCCACAGTCGACTTAGAGAGCCAGCCAGAACATGACGGGAGTAGCGAATCAGTCCAATGCCATGTCTTTCAAAGATAAAAAAGAAAGTAGCACACTCAAGGGGTCATCCAAGAGCTCCTTCAAATAGATCCCTAGGCCAACACCGGTGATCTACCCGGAGTTCAAGATTCTGACGGACATCTTGTCGCGAACTTTGTTCGACAAACGTCAACACCTTGCACCAGTCTTGAGCTCAAGGTAAAAGGCTAATCGAAGGCCTCTGCTTCCAATTACAGCCCTTTGGAGGTGAATGACTCTTGCTGCCACAAGTCTAACAGAGTCCCCCACAAAACGGGTGTGCTGGTGGGGTGAAAAACTGCACCACCCTTGGGGTTCAAGAATCCAGTCCTTGGAGGCAACTTGAAGGGTCTTGGTAACCCCTGCCCCATCCAGCCCCAAGAAACACAAATTGGGCCTTGGGCATGTTGTTTTGCTTGCCAATCGTTGTCAAACAAAAAAGGGGAGCCACAGAGACTGAAAACAGCAAAAAAAACACACTATAAACTAAGACGGCAATTTTCCACAAAACAACACCTCTTTGGATACGGATAGCTGGGTGAAGGTAATTGAACATATAATAATTACATATAATTATTGTATGTTAAAACGTAATAAACAAATACACATATACCGTTTGCATCTGCTTAGCCCAACAAAGACCTCCCGGGCCGGAGTTCGTTCTCTCTTGACGCCGAGCTGCCGGTGACTCGCGGCCCGCTTCGATGTTCCCAATCAACGCGACGAGGATCAGAGACACGCAGCATCCCTGGCGCTGCCACGCATTCGAGCACTGCGGAGCCATGGAGAGACGAGGGCGGCATATAGGCTTAGAGGCAGAAGAGGCACCGGGCAAGCAGAAACCAGGGTAAAAAACATAAACTTATTCTTATTGGACTAGGGCTAGGGGTATGATGGCTCTGATTCCCACGAGAACATGCAGCAGCATGCATGTCTCTGCAACCGGATCCATCAACATACTCAAAAGCAAGGACTGGCGTTTGAGAGTGGCAGCACTGACATGCACAACCCTGCTTCATCCCGGCTTCATCAACAGACCCTGCTGTCTGTTGACAAGGGGTGTTCTCGTGTTCTCACCTGGGTCACCTGAACCATACAGGCAAACATCCAATCCCAGGTGTTCGCCGCCGCCCATAGGTGTTCTCCATTGGTTTCCATATGACGCCGACCCAGGACGGGCCTGCCATGGAAAACCTCGCGGTCACAGCTGTCAGTTGGCGGGGCTTGGGGATGTATTTGATGCACAAGATCCCTACATTCTACACAAATGAGCGTGGAGGGCAACATAGGGCAACTACTAATTACCATACCAACGCCACCTAAGTAACTTGAGGACTTGTATTAAACATGGGGACCAACTGAAAAGTTGTACTAGTACCACATAGATAAACAATGATAAACATATATGGTATGCACTGCTCTTCAAGATGCACTGGATTGGCAAAGTGCCCCGACTGCCTCATGGGGGATTGGATGATGCACCATGTATTTCAGCCCCCATAAGTTTCTCATGTCTTAAAACGAGTTCCAACATATCCACCTAGCAAGAGGATGTGGCCCTGCGCAAGCAACGCTCTCACGAGATACCTTGGATCAACAATTGGAGTGTGCACTCTTCTATAAAGGCTCGTGTAGTATGTTGGATCATGTTCAATAACTTTGGTCACCACCACCCACCTACCTACCCAAGACCAAGTCTTTGAGAGACCAAGTTCTATTGGGTCACCGGCAGCTCCCGACAGCTCCCGGGCCCCGAGCTAGATCTCACAGTCATACGTGGAAACCTCTCGTCACCTCCGCCCGCCGCGGCGGTCCGCGGAGCTTTCAAGCCAAACAGCGGCGGTCCGGCGAATGACGGCGTCCCCGGCGTCTCCGCCGGTGTCTCCGAGGGCGGGCCGGGCCTGGAAAGACCAGCCCAAACAAGTCTCCAGCAAAATCACTTGGCCACATGCCACAATGACTTGGCCCAGTACGAGACAATGCAAATAGCTGGTGAAACGCCGGGTTTCTCCCTCCACATATCTCGGGTATTTCTGGAGGGTGAGGGATGGTGAGCGTACGTTCTTCGTATATCATCATGGGTGTGAGGCTCTGAAGTCTCACTAGTGCAAAACTCCCATCCTGATCACACTCAATCTTGCATCTATTCATACATATGTATATATATATATATGTGAACTACTTACTTACATTGCTTCGGGATGCCCTGGCAGAATCCGCATGCGTCAATAAGGAAGGGAACCACATTTGACATAATTAGATTCACCTGTATAGTGTCATTTGAACGTGAACACATTGCAATGTTGAACTTCTAAACTTGCGGGGGCCTGAATGGAACACAGTTAATGGATGTATGTCTCGAATGAGTCTGTTCTGCCTTTCTCACCGCAGGATTTTTCATGAACCATCATGAACCTGTTTCCAAGAGGTGAGGAATCCTTATGTCTTTTACACCGTCAAAACAGGAAAAGTCTGGACAATTCAGCCGGACACATGACTCAGCCGGGGCTCCCTTTGAGCAGTCAGTAAAGGCTACTAAGTACAGTCAAAAGAATTCGTTGGACCTTGGGAACCGGACCCAGGACCCTCCCTGCAGTCCATTGGAGGCATCTCATCCTTCAAAGCTTCGTTCAAAGCGTCCAAACTGAGCGTGGCACCGGCGGTGGCACCGCCGGCACCGCGGTTGGAACGCGGTCGCACCAGTCTGGTCGTTTTCAGAGCACTCCAAGCACCCGAGAAATTGTCACACAGAAACCATATATAACTCTCCAGAAACGCTTCTGGAAGTCTCACATAAGAACTCGGACACAAACCTCCTTGGCAAAAGGAACATCTCTCCCTTTCAGTTCCAAGTCCAGTTCCCCGGTCACCTCCTGAAAGGGCAATGTGTGAAAATTCATGACGGTTGCTCTCCCCTCACTAACATGGACGTGGAAAAAAACAAAAGACTCTAATGACTAATGACTTCTTTCACAAGGCAAAATGGCCCTGGCCGAACCCATCCAATTCCCATCTGATTCAGTTGTTGATTGAATTACTTACGCACTTTTACCAGACGTTCTGAGCATTCTGGGCTCTTTGAGCCGGGTCACCGACCATGGTTCCACCCGCTGCAAACACCGATGTCGACCGATGCGGTCGATGTCGACCGACGCAGCGGTCTTTCGAAACACCTGGACTGTGAGGTTGTCATGGCCATTCCGAGTAAGCAACACACACACACACCAAGAACTGCCAAGAACACTCAGACTAAACTAAACAAACATGCAAGATATCGGCCTGAATGAAACATGAGTTGTGATGAGTTGTGTAGTATTTTGGTCAGGTACATTCCAAAGATCCACCTAAAAACAATCGAAGGCGCCCAAACACCTCTGAGCCGCCCTGGCTCTTTGATGTCATCGTCGGGCGCTCCCATGTCATGTGGACCGGCTGCCATCATCAGCTCATCCTTTCGACCAGAAATTGGCTCATAGGCTATCATAGGCTCATGGCTGTTGTCAACAATCCAGTTTGACGGTGCCTTGAACACACAACCCCATGACCCCATGCAATCTGTTTCTTTTCAGCACGCCTGAAAAAGTGCCTTGGTGCTTTAAACAAACACATGTCTTGGTCTCTATCGAAGCATGCAGCTCACGTGCGCCCAAGCACCACCTGTCACTTGAAGACGGAAACGTGCCTTCTGGGAGTCACCCGATGCGGCCCATTTCATCCGCTCGGAGCCAACGGTCTACACCCAACGGTCGAAGTACTCCTGGACTCCTCCCTAGTGCGAGCGAGTAGGCTCGGCTCGATGCCCGGCCCCAACCAACGGCCGCGGAAGGTCAAGGAACCGCCACTTTCGAGAGGTTCGCACCACGAACGCCCAACAAGGACCGAACTCATCACGGACCGGCTCAGTGGTCCTCGGAGGATTTGGGATGATCTTCTTGCACTTCGTGCCTGAGGGAAGAAACAGGATCGAGAAAAACCATGTGATTGGAAACCATCCCAAACATGCCATCAAACGGCAAAAAACAATAAATTGGAATATAATGTGTATTGGATATATCCTATTACCAGTAACAATGGATGATGATGTTTTGATATGTTTTGTAAAGGCCTCTCTCTAGAATAGTGATACTTGTTTACCGACTGTTACAGGTATTGGGACCAACTCAAGGTATCTCAAGGTGTTCATTTCAAAACCGGGTAACCCCTGGCCCTGGCTGGGTAGACTGGTCTATTTCCCTTCTGAAAAGGGGATCATTGCCTGGGAGGTCTCCGTATTTGAATGCACGCCATATGCCGTCCCATTGACTCCCGAAATCAACCAGCCCACCTGATCGGGAGTCATATGCCAGTCCCATGGAGGAGTGTGGGATGGTGCAGCCCCGTCATACCCAACATGAGTATTTCTGCCTCATACTTTCCCGGAGCCGTGATGATCTTGCCTGAGATCTTGACAAGGATCAGCGGGGGTCAACATGCATCCTTTCAAAAACCGCCCCCCATCATCTGCCCCAATTGGATCCATGTGGTAAATTTTAAATGATATAGTTTCACCAAGCTCATATACTGTAGTTTCACCAAGCTCTTCAGCAGTACGTTTGGATCCTGCGCGTCTTCTGGGTACTTACCAACTGCATCCAAATGCGCTTCTTCATCTCAACTGGACTGCCGCCCAGCTGCCAGTTGCCGGTCTCATCCTGGCGCCAAAGCTGCGTTTCGCCACCTGGAGAGGGGCCGTTTTCAGGCTGCAAAAGGTGGATTGCGCAAAGCCAATAAGTCGTGAGTGAATTGTAAGTGTGATATTTTGGTGGTTTAGACATGTTCGCGAAATCAAACAATAACTTAAAAAAAAAAAACATATTACACATAACGCCCCATACAATCCTTCAAAGGCTTTATGGAGGGCAGAATTGTATTGCTGATCGAATTCTCAGGGTCGTTCTACACAGCTTGGTTATCCATAAAGCATTTGATGGGTTTAGCTCCTTTTCGAGCTGCTAAGCAACTCCGAAAATCGAGGGGCCAGAACTCAGGGCCAGAACTCGGATGATCTACGGTGAGCTCTGTTCCCCTTTTCTTCTTTGCTCTTGGGAGTACCTGGCAATATATTAATGGATTGCATGGAACCATGATGAACCATGTCATGTTCTGTTGGTCTCATGGTTGAGCCCCGAGGGAATTTTGACCAATTGGCTCCTCATGTGGGCATACCAAATGTCTCAACAGTCATGAATCAGGGGCAAGTGCTCTTCTATCTGTGTTTGGGTGGTACTCTTCTGGTTGAGCCAATTTCCCGCTTCAAGAAATCCCCATTACACATGTTGGAGCGTTTGGGATTGGACCGCACAAACCCAGCTGTCCATCCTTGAACCAAGCCTTTGTGCCACTGATGATGTTCATCTCGAAACCAGTACTCAGCAGGACCTCTCACAAGCGTGGGACTGCGTCTGGTACCAAGCAAAGCACAATATTGTGCTACGCAATCCAAATTGTGGTCATGGTTTCGGCACACAGAACTAGGGTAGATCGAACATCATGCAGAAAAAATGGGACAAACTAGCATTTCAACCTGGCAAAAGAACATCTGACTGTGGGTCAAAACCATTTCAGCCCTGGTCCATTTGCCGCAACCGGTCGGTCGGTCATGCCCGGTCGGGAGTCTCCCGGTGCCCCACAGCCATCTCTCTGCGTCTGACCGAAAGCACCAAAGCGAAGCTTGTAAACTGATGGATCCAAATGTGGAACAGTGTTTTCACCGCCCAGTGCAACATGTTACAGCAAACTTACCGTTCAACAAGAAAAACAACACGTATTAATGAATGATATTGATATGATTTAACATGATGGTCTACTGGTTTACTAAACTTCACAACCTAAGGCTTTTGTATGGTTCCGTGATGTTTTTTGTACCACCTTTGTTTAGGTCGGTCCTTAGGTCGGTATACATATGTTTGGTCTTGTATTGATTCATGTCAACCCTGTCTGAAGGCTTCCTCTGGTCCGGGTCGCTCACATGGACGCAGCTATACTCAGCCACACTCCAACGCATGGAAGTGGAAAACCAGGAAGGAACACATGTTTCGGTATTCGGAACGTTGTCTTCCAAGGGTTTTTTATATCATCCACTTCCATGTGATGTGTTCCTCAGAGTATATGATACCTCACCACCTCGCGTCCCAAGCACCTCACAACCGCTCAGCCTCCGAAGTGCCAATGACCGGCTTCATCTTGCCACCACTCGCCTGGTGCCCCGATACCCACGGCCACCGGACAGAGGACCGAGTCTGGTGCTCTGTGGTCCTCCCCCCAAGATCTGGGCAAACAATGTCCAAACCCATGATGTCCGTTGGGGTAAGAACCTTATCCCTATGACCTATATGGGTTGTTCACTGGGGGTATCCGGTCCCCTCTATTAATCAACCAAGAGTAAAGGGACCTCCATGGTCGAAACTGCGTAGGCCTACGTTGACCCCTTTTCAACCACCCCAATCTATACATCAATGTACATTATATATATATTATAGAATTGTACATGAATATGCCACACATGGAGTGTCTGGGAATGTCCAAACTGGGACAGAAAAGTCGGTCGCGAACTGAGCCAACTTCGCCTGGCATCACCAACCTCGACTCAGTCTACCTCCAGAATCTGGACCTCGTCAACCTGGTGTCCTATCCCAAAGTATGGCTCGATGATGCTCGATGTATGATGTATGGAATATAATGTAATACATCATGGACCCATTATAACGGACTCCAGGTCAACCACCCCGACTGATCGGGGCCGAACTGCGGAGCGTCTGGGAGTTGATGGGTCGGTGCCCTCGACGTGGGGCACCGCATCGCGCCTCCGTCGATTGGTTGTCCTCAGGGGGTGTCTGATGTCTGGGCTGTGAAGGAGGGTGTCAAGTGTGCTAGAGATAGGTAATCAGTCCGTGATTGCCTTCTAAGAGCACTTGAGTCAATCTGTTTGTCAACTAGCTGAGACGTATTTCAACCGGGGCTCTACCTCCAAGAATCCTCCAAGATAGCATGTTTGATCATGTTTGCTTTTGGGCCTGCGTCTTTGTTTGTCGTATCGAATATCAGCAGGTTGCTTTTTTTTCAGCAGCTCCCACTCGGTGACGATCGTCCATGTGGCCGCATGCGGTCCTCCACCAGCACCAGTGGGGTCCGCAAATTGACCTGGAGACAACGAGATCAACCAAGTGTTGGACCACAAGGTGATGACTTTTGTATGTGCTCGGCTCTTTCATATGCTATTTCCCATCTGTTGCGCGGCTTGGCTGGGTTGGCTCTGTTATCTTCTTCTCTCTCACTCCACCCCACTTGGCCGAGTCACCATCTCCAACAAAGGTCTGAGTCTCACATGACTCACGTCATGAACAAAAGTAACAAAGTCAACAGTCGCAATCCTGACCGAATCAAACTCTTTCCATGTATATAGATTACAAAGAGGACCTTGTACTATCGCCTTGCGTTGGGGAATGGTCTTCCGATTCCTTGACGGCCGGCCTCCGATCCTGTTTTCCCGCAGGGTCCGAGGGATTGCAGGTTCAAGTTCCGGGCAAGAGTGGATGACCCTTTAAACCACTACTAAACTGAATAAGTTTAGACCGCGAACGACTGTAAACCGTGAGTTCTGGAGCACCGCACCTTGTGCACCATGGCCTGCGGTGCCCCCGAAGCCTGCGGTGCCAGCGCCAAGGCATCTAGCCGGAAAACAAATCACTGCCTACCTGTCTGGGACTCTCCCTTGGGCTATCACTGAACACCCCTGAAAAGCCACTTCTGCCATGTTAGCACTGAGAAACTCAGGGGAATAAGCCGTGGTAGGTGGTGAATACAGGTCTACAACACTTGCAGGATTAAACATCAATCCAAACGGGATATGATATGAGTTCAACTAGCCATCAACTTATACAAGGGTGCCAAGTCAAGGAGTGCCAGCAGCCAATTCGGTGGATCTTCTGGTCTTGTAGTCGGTTCGGGGTGCAACAGCTTTGCATAGCCTTGTGAAAACTGCACAAATATGCTGGGATGTCTAGAAAAAGTAAACATTTGCTGCTGTGACTGTGCTTGCAATTTGGAGCCGGAGCCCTTGCTGTACTGAGGTCCTTTGGATGATTTGCCAACAAATTGAAATAGTACAGTTTCAATTGCAATTATGCTTCAAGTACTAAGAGTGTTCAGGATTGAACCGTCTTCCTTCAATCGTAGAGACCCCTGCCATCCGCGTGATTGCCATCTGCGTGCGGTCTTCCGATTCCTTGACCGCCGGCCTCCGATCCTGTTTTCCCGCAGGGTCTGAGGGGTTGCAGGTTCAAGTTCCGGGCAAGAGTGGATGCCCCTTTAAACCACTACTAAACTGAATAAGTTTAGACCGCGAACGACTGTAAACCGTGAGTTCTGGAGCACCGCACCTTGTGCACCATGGCCTGCGGTGCCCCCGAAGCCTGCGGTGCCAACGCCAAGGCATCTAGCCGGAAAACAAATCACTGCCTACCTGTCTGGGCCTCTCCCTTGGGCTGTCACTGAACGTCCCTGAAA